CCTACGCGACAACAATTTTCTGCGCTCCGCTGTCATAGAGCTGAAAATGAACAATGAATTTTAGGACGCATCATTGGTTGATTTTTCTCTGTTATTAACCAATGTCAGTGAAGGCAAAAAGTCGCTGATATTTCAGCGGCTTGTGGAAAAAGCCAAAAACCGCTGACACAAAAGTCGCTCCGAACACGCCCTAAAGGTTTAAAAGTGGGCATAAATTGGTTCTCAAAACTAGAACAAACATGCTTGGAAAGTCAGCTTGACAGCTTTTTGTAATAGAAGTACTACTTGAAATCTAATAATTCAATTATGAAGTGAAAGCCCTGTGTTCGGTTGATAAGAATCACTTGACAAAATGTGAAAAGCCTTCCTGTGAGCGGAGATATGCGAATTCCACGATAACTACTCCGAAAAAGTAATCATAAATTGGTCATTTACATTAGTCGACTTACATGCCTTCCACTAAAAAGAAAATGTGTTCCTATATTGGTCTCTTATGTTAACGATACTACAGTTGTGATGTGGCCAGAGAATTAGTTTGCCGCGCTCTGGTGCATCAAGTCCATGAAACGTTGTCGCCAAAACAAGAAACCCGCATACGACCGTCGGATTATTTCGCGCCGCACGTGTGCGTCCTTCTGGTCGTCTTCCATGCCCGTCACGTCGATGCCCCCCAACGCTGCTAGCTCGTCCACACTCAAAAACCCGGTGGCGGGTCGAAATATGTGGGACACACGGTCGACTGAGCGCAGCAAGATGTGTGTTGGCGATACTTGCCGAACCTCGGTCCTACGTGCAACGAAAAAGCTGAGCCTTTGTCCACAACAACCCCCGAAGTAACAGTAAATACGCACCACGACAAATCGTGTTGCTGCTTCTGGAGGGGGTGGCATATATATGTTTCGTCGTGTTCGATTTGCCGCATGACCATGATGAACCGGTCGGCTTCGACGAAGTGTCCTTGGAGCAAGTTCATGAAGATGCCTTTAGGAGTGATCGTGTGAAACAGGCGTGTGTTGGATGTCTTCTCTTCCTCCACCTAACCAAACACAAACGTCAGGTGTTGACCCTCCATTCGTCTGACTAAGTACTTGCCGTTTCGTCACAATTGGGGAAATTCACCGCCTTCATGTTGGTCTCGACCAGGCGTCGAAACATTTGTACCGTTCCTGGCCACGTGAACTGTACCCGTTCCATCCACGTAAACGAATCGTCGTGCTCGTCCGACGCTTGAAAGTCAAATTGGAAAAACTCCTCTTCATTTCTCACGGCAGGAAGCAACGCTAACGGCTCGTGCATGTTGTGGTACATTTGCTGCGTGAGCCACTCCTTGCCCAGGTTTCGAGCCCTCGGGTCGGCCACCAACGTCGCACTGCGCCACGCATTGCTGCGGGGCATGGGCGGCTACATCCAACCGCAACGATCTCACTCGCCTGCCTCTATGGAAATGTGAAGACGCACCGGAATGTTCATCATGACAAAGCGTTGCATGGCCTGCATGAGGGATTGATACTCTTGCGTTTGAGTGACCAGGGACTGGCAGTCCTTCAAGACACGATGGGCTTCTCTTTTGAACACGGTAGCAACGGAATGCCAGGACAACGGACCATCGCTTGCTTCACGCGGCGCCACTAACGACGGCCTGCCAGCTTGAAGGCCTTCAAGGACCGACTGAAGGTGCTCGTACTGTGCTTTGACAATCGCCTCGTCAGCATATACCTTGCGGCGATGCTCGCGCTGCTTCTCTCGAAAGTATTGACGCCGAGCGAGGGTTTTGTCGACAATCATCAGGATCGCGTCCGTGTGGGCATGGGTCACGCCAGTGTTGGATGGCATGCTTGACGTGACTGTGAGTTGGTGAAGCGACTGTTATTACAGTAATACTGTAATAACAGTCGCTTCACCAAATTGGGTCGGAATGACTAATTAGGGTAATTAATTTAATTCATTTCCGGCCATACTAGTACTGTATTACAAACACAAGTAAGAACGTCGTTGAACAGGCCTCGTCCGGGTAGCGGCACGGCCTACCTGCCGCTTTTCCCGACGAGAGGAATCGATTGGACCTTCGATGACGTACACGATGGGGGATCACTCCTCGCCAAGGCACCACCTGCAAAAATTATACATCCGAACTCTGCTACGCTGCGATGCGCGCAATTTTTGGGCGGATGCTATGTGGTCGCTCGCTACTATAAGGCTTGGTCGTTGTTGGAAAAAACTGTTGGAAAAAGCAAAGTTAAACCCTCAACCTCCCGGTTCCAAGCCTCTTACTGAAACCACTCGCCCAAATCAGCAATATTGAAAATGACTGCTTAACGTTACTGTTAATAATTACTACTCCCTCATCCCAAAATTGTGGAGCGAGTTTGGGGAGGGGGGCATCTCTCGTCATTATAATTGAGAGTGTAATTCAAAATCCAACGTATTGCGCCTCGCTTCGAATTCTACAGCGCTGATTGGACGAGAATGACAAGCGCGCCAAGCGCTTTAACATGATGTACGCAGCGCTTGAAACTTCTTAACGTAACATTTTCAACTCCAGGCCGAAAGTCTGTATACATTTTTCAAGTATAAACCATCACTCTGATCATACATCCACTCATATGTCACTCAAAATGGCACCTGGAAGGCGGGACTTGACCAACGACGAGCGCAAAGCGATACTCTGCTATGGATCGTGCGTGTGCGAGCGAACTCGAAATGGCTGCATTGTTGAACGAACTGTCCTTTGAGCTGGAATGCATCGCGTTGAACAGCGAGTCCTCCGACGATGTCATGAGTGTGCTGAATGACATTGGCATTGAACCAATTAGTATAGATGAGTAGATAGATGTACATATTGTATAATCAAGTGGAAGTTACGGCCATAGGTAGTTGGCTGGCTTGGTGTGGTCGGTGGGAGGGTTCTCGGGGTAAACCCCCCTCCTGAATCGAATCGATTGGCGTCGTCAGAAATCGTGAATTCCGTGTTTGGTCAGTTTCGGGTTGCGTGAGACAGTTTTGTATCGTTACAAACTCTACAACTTTATCTTTGACAAGATTATGTTTTGCAGTGACTCGTAATTTTATTCAAGGAGGCACAAGCCAAAAAACTGATTCGCTCCACAATTGTGGGACAGAGGGAGTACATATTACATGTACTGTACAGTGCTGGCGATAAGTATAGCTAGCACACATGCATTTTCGCCAACAAGGGAAAGAAAA